ATGTAAATTCAAATCTCTTCCTATCAGTGTGACATGGAGCAAGTTGCTTCACCTCTCTGTGCTTCAGTTTCCACAGGTGTAAAATGCAGACACTAAGAATTTATTGTATTATTCGCCCTGACTGGTTTGGCTCAGTGGATAGAGCACCGGCCTGCGGACTCAAGGGTCCCAGGTTCGATTCCGGTCAAGGGCATGTACATTGGTTGTGGGCACATCCTCCGTGGGGGGTGTGCAAGAGGCAGCTGATCGATGTTTCTCTCTCATCGATGTTTCTAACTCTATCCCTCTCCTTTCCTCTCTGTAAAAATTCAATAAAATATATTTTAAAAAAAGAATTTATTGTGAGGATTAAATGAGGGACTAAAGTAGAGCAGTAGCTGCCCCTAGAAAGAGCTCAAAATGTTAAGTGTTATTATTTCACAGTTTGGGGGAAATTTAAAGATAATTGTCATCATCTTCCCTAATTTTTATACCCCTTTCATTAAACAGTGCTGTTCACACAACACAAAAGAACTAATCAGACCTTCCTTGCCCAGTGATGCTCCCATTTATAACCCCACACCCTCCCCTACTTGGAAAGCATGAGCAGTTGTTTTTTCCAACAAAGCAAATGTCAAAGCCCCAGCTTGTTTCTGTTTAGCCTCCTCAGTTTTAACATCCCTTCTCTCCTAGGGCCTCATTCTGTGCTTATGTGCTGAGGCCCAGAGAAGCTAAGTAGCTGGTTCAAAGTTTCAAAATAAGCAAGCAGCTGTACTATCACTGGAATCTGCACAAGTCTTGCACACTCCTAATTCCTGGTGCTCTCCATTCAGACCTCCCTCTCATGACTTTCCCTCTTGCCCATGACACTCACCATTTTTGTCAGGAGTGAGGAAGGTATAGAAAGCCGGTGGGTTCAAGGACTCCACAAACTTGGACTCCACCATTGACTCAGACAGTAGCTCCAGTTCCTCAGGGAGAATGAGCAGGCTGACTGCCTCAGGGAGGGTGCTAGAAGGCAGCAAGACTGGCAGGTTTGGGGGGCTGCCTTCTGGCATAGGCTTGGAGCTGTTGGGTAGACCCATTGTTGGTACTCCTGACACAGATGGTCCCAGAATTTCCCCTGTGCTTTGGGGCCCTGACAGCAGGTCATGCTGATGCAAGAGCCTTCCAGGGGGCAGCAGAGAGGGCAGTGTGGGGTGAAAGGGAGTAGGGATGGGTTCTCCAAGGACAGGGGTTGTTGTGTTACTGCTGGGGCTTGTGGGATTTGAGATTGTACTTGGGACTGTGCTTAGGCTCCGAGGAGGTGGGGGCCTGGGTCTGACAGGTCTGGAGGGTAATGGGGTTTTGGGTTTATTGGGGATTGGTGTCCTAGGTTTAGAAAGCAATAAGCTTGGGGAAGTTTGATGAGGTGGGACACTAGGTTTAAGAGGTGATGGGACTTTAGGTGTCTTGGGTAAGAGGATCCCAGGCCTAGGGTATGACAGGTTGCTTAGGGTCTTGGGAACAGGAACCTTTGGTCTGGTGTGTGGTGGGTATTTGGGGATCTGAAGTGTGGAGACACCAGGCCTGGGCCGTGGCAGATTTTTGGGTGACTGTGATGTGAGTACCTTAGGCTGGGGGTGTGAAGTGGCATCCAGTTTAGGTTGTGATGGAGCACCGGGTTTGGAATGCAATGAAGTGACATGTTTCATAGTGCCAACTTTGGACTGGAATGGGGTTCCAGGATTCATAGGTGGAACTTGTGTCTCAGAAATTATGGGTAATAGGGTCCCAGGATTCTGGTGAGGTGGAATGCTGGGCTTCATAAGCACAAAGGCACCAGAATTTGAGGGCACAAGGGCAGCAGGTTTTGTCCTGAGAGTTGGCTGAGCCAAGGTGCCAGAATTGTGTTGTGCTGGAATTTTGGGCCTTGGGTGTGCTGGGGTGGATACGGAACTAAGGCTCTGACCCAGGGGCTCCAAATCCCTGGAACTGCCCATCTTCTTTGTAGAGGCAGTAGTTGAGGATAAGTAAAATTTTGAGTTCACAAGCCTTGATTTGGGAGAGATCTTGGGCACCAAGGTTGGCCGGGCTGTGCCTGCCCCTAGGCCATGCCTGCTGGTGGAAGAGGGCATGATGGTTCCTGGCCCAGTTGTGGTGGAAGTCTGTCTTCTGGCCTTCTCACTGGCCTCCTTGGGCTGCACCATGACCAGTGAAGTCAGAGGTGTGACAAAGTTGTATTCAAGGGACAGGTTGAGGACTTTGGCAGCCAACAAGTGGCGAGTGGTGGTGTCACGGGCTCGGAAGCGTGCCTCCAGCAGTTCTCCAATGGTGACATAGGCCCAGAGGCGGCGGATGAAATGGGCTACATTGGGGGCTGGTTCACCTGGGCAACCAAAGGCCTTCTGGCTGCTGTTGGTGGCCACCTCACTGTGGCGGGCCACGAGAAGCTGACCTTTGGGGCCACGGGCTGCCAGGTGGATGCCCAGTTCCTGCTCACCTGGCTGCACCAGGCCTGCCACCACCAGCTCTGAGCCACCAAAGTAGTTGGGGAAAAGAGCCCAAGGGGAGGCCCCAACCAAGCCGCCCAGGTAGTCCAGACGCACATCTGCCAGCAGAGGCATGGAGATCTCCTCATAGAGGCCCTGCAGCTGTAGGGCTGCATCAGTGTCTTCGTATATGCGTCGGGCTGCTCCTCGATTCTCCAGGGACAGGCGACGTAGCAGTGGGAAGTCAGCATCATCCCCAAAGGCCAAGCTGAAAAGGGCCACTCTGTTGTCCAGTGCCTGACGGACATTGGAGAGGATCACACTGGGAGTCGTCACGCCAGCGGTGGGCTCCCCGTCTGTCAGGAAGATGATGAGAGGGATCCTCCCCACACTGGAGCCCCTCCCAGGCTCCTGGTTGCTATGGTTCAGCACTGAAGCAGCTGCCAGCAGAGCTGTGTTGATGTCGGTCCCTAATTGGGGAGCAGACTGTGAGACCATCTTTTCTAGTTACTTCTACCCCTATTGCAGACACACTAGACACCTCACCAATCTCCCAGTCATATCACCTGATCTTTGCTCAAACTCTTTCTACTGTTTATCCTTCCCGAGTCCCCACCTCCGCACAGGCTTCCTGAGAGCGGACAGTGGGGCCCACATGTCCTTGGCTTTTCTCACTCCCTATCTCAGACTGTGCTTTGCCTGTTTCTAGGAGGGAATGTTTCATTCTCTAGTCAGATTGGCAGCTCCTCAAGGACAGTACCCCACACTTCCAGGGCAAGAAAGGGCCGAATTGACAGGAAGCGATGGTGGGTGGGGAGACTTCAGTAATTGTTTGAGAAACAATTGATCAAAAGCCAGAATCAGGGCAGCAACTTACTCAAAGGCTTGGAAATAAATATCTAGATTATTGATTAAAAAAAAAGTCTTAGCAAATTCTTCTATGTGCTTTAAAGAACAGGAAACTTAGATCCAAAGGGGGAATATGCCCTAAAACAAATGGCGAATCAGCTGTGCTATTTCCACTAGGAAAAGAAACCCAGAGGCACTTATTTGTGTAAAATGTAATCATGATATTCCGGGCACTGTGAGAGGTGAGGTGGATGGGGGAATGAAGGGAGCATTTTAAGAATTTCCCACATCACCACAGCCTGTCCATTTGGGTGGGTAGGTCTAATACTTACAACCATCAGCTTCCATGTGGCCCAGGTAGTCCTTGGCACTGTGTACATTCTGGATGGTGGCCTGGATGGAGCCTCCAGCTTTCCAGACACTAACCGTGTCAGAAAAGGAGATGATGTTGAAGTAGTCGTTGGCCCGCAGGTCACCAAGAATCACATTCATGGCCTTTTTAGTCTGTGGGATATGGACAAAGTGAAGGAGATGGACCAAGACTTGAGGTCTTGCTCAAGTTTGAAAGGCTCTTTGTGTACAGGGTACTAAGATCTAGGACTCTCTGATCCCAACATCCTGTGGGTATAGGATTCTCAGGTCAAAATGCTCTATAGGCTCTATGGCCCAAAGCCCAGAACGACACTAACCAATGGCAACTTCTAGCCATGTGGAATCTTTAAAAATGTAAATGTAAGTTAGTTAAAACCAAAGAAAAATTTTATAATTGTTAGCTTTTTTTCACTTGCAGTAGCCATATTTCAAGTGGCCAGTGGTTACTGTACTGGAAACTTCAGAATTTTAAAATAATTCCATCATCAAAAGGTTCTATTGGACAGTGGTGGTCTGGAAGGTTCAAGCTCTATGCTTCCAGAGACTTAGGATTCATGTGTTCTATGGATGCTGGACCCCATGACCCAGAATTCAATGATTCCAGGGCCCTAAAGTTTAAGAGCTTTGTGATTCCAGGTCTTTATAGCTGTCTTTCAATGACCTTGCATGCTTGGTTCTGTTTCATCTAATCTGTTCTTCTACCTCACCCTCTGTTTCTTCCAGTCTGGTCTTTTCACCAGCCCCCAGATAACCCAAATTCTATTTTGTCTCCACAACTGTTGCTCTTGTTGTGTCCTTTAGACAGCAGACCTTCCCACTTCCCCTTTACTTATTCATATTTTCACTGTTCCTTCAGTTGCTCCTTCTCTGGGCAGCCCTTCTTTGAATGCTTATTCTGACCCATGCCATTCACACCCAGACATTCTTTTTCCCAGGCTGTTTACTGACTGTTTTATGTGGAATATTTTCATTCTCCATCCAGATATTGAGCCCTTTGAGAACAAGGCTTAGAATACTTCTTCCTCCTGGCTCCCTTCTCATGACACTACTTAGCACAGGGCTAGGCCCATAGGAACTGGGAACTGTGTTTCTAACTGGCTCTGAAGTCTAGAGGGGGTTCAGTAAATAGGGCATGTGGGTTCTAGTATTAGGTACCATTTATAGGATACTTCTATGTTCAAGGGACTGTGAAAAATGCTTTAGGTGCATCAGCTCATTTAATCCTCACAGCAACACAATGAAGAAGATACTAATATTATCCTCATTTTACAGGTGATGACACTGAGGCTCAGTAAACAGGGTAAATAGGTTCAAGTCTATAGGAAGTTCAGTCAATAGGGCATGTGGGTTCTTATGATGCTGGACAGTGGCAGTGAGCCACAGTTCCCAGTCAGCAACACAATCATGAGGGTAAGCAACAGACACTCTACAGTATTTTTTTGGATATTGTGTGTTGTGCTTTCACATCCCATCGTGTCACAAAAGGTCAGTCTATGTCATCTGTTTCTGGTGAGAAGAAGATGAGGAAGGCAATTACTCTTGAGACGAAACTCAAGATAATTGCCCAGTTGTAGGCTCATGTAAGCCTTTGAGCCCATTTAAGGCAGGCTATGATTTTTGGTAGGTTAGTTGTATTAAATGCATTTTGACATGATATTTTCAACTTATGATGGGTTTATTGGGTACATAACCCCATCATGGGTCGGGGAGCATCTGTACCTTGTAACAGAGTAGTCCCAGTTATTCCCTCCTGTCTCTTATAACACTGCTGTCATTAATTTCACTTATCAGTAGGCTATATTCACTGAATACATTATTGCTATTATTATTTTGAACAACCTGTTTTCTGTTAAATTAATTAAAAAATAAAATATTTTATGTTGCCTTTATTTATTCCTTCTCTAACACTCTTCCTTTTTTAATGTAGATCCAAGTGTCTGAGATATACTATTTTCCTTCTCTCTGAAGAATTTCTTTAAAATTTACCTGTTTGAGGCAGGTCTACTAGCAATAGTTCCCTCAACTTTTGCCTGGTTGATAAAGTATTTCTTTCACTTTGGATGGACAATGATGCTGTACACAGAATTCTAGGCTAGGGTTGTCCTCCCCCCCCCCTTTTAACACTTTAAACATTTTACTCCACTTTTTTTTTTTTTTGCTTACGTGGTTTCTCAAGAGAAATCTGATGTAATTCTTATCCTTGTTCCTCCATAAGTAAAGTGTTATTTCCTATGAGCTTTTTAAAGGATTTTCTTTTTGTCTTTGATTTTCTGAAGTTTGAATAGGATGTGCCTATCTGTGGATTATTTGGTATTTCCTGTTTAGAGTTCTTTGACCTTCCTGGACCTATGATTTGATGGTTGGCATTTATTTTGGAAAATTTATATCTATTCATTCCTTCAACTATTTCTTCTGTTACTGTCTCTCTTTCTTCTCCTTCTGTTATTCTCATTACAACATATGTTACACTTTTGTAATTGGATGCAGTTACTGGATATTCTGTAAGGTTTATTTTATTTTATTTTTTGCTTTTCAGGTTGGGAAGTTCCTAGTAACATATCTTCAAGCTCATCGATTCCATGTTCAGGCTCCTAATGAGCCCATCAAAGATATTCTTCATTCCTGTTACTGTATTTTATATGTCTAGCATTTTCTTTTAATTTTCTTAGGGTATCTATATTTGTTTACATTGCCCATTTGTCCTTGCATGTTGTCCACTTTCTCCATTAGAGCCCTTAGCATATTGGTTAGTTATTTAAAATTCTCACTCTGATCATTCCAACACACCAGTCTGGTTCTGATGTTGATTTATCTCTTCAGACTGTGTATTTTCTTTTAACATGTCTTCTAAATTTTTGTTGAAAGCCAGAGATGGTGTATCAGGTGAAAGGTGCTGAGGTAAATAGGAGTTTAATGTCAGGTTTTCTGTTTACCTGGCTAGAAGTGAAATTGTGTTTGCCGCTTGCTGCAATTGAGGTGTCAGAGGCTAACATTTCTTTTAGGGTCCTTGTTTTTATCTCCTCTGTTTGTCTTGTGTATCCCTAGAGAGCCTTTCCTAAATTGTGTGTAGGCTTCCAGTTCTTTCAGCTGACACCTCCTATTGCTCTACAAAAGACATGTTGATATAGTGGCAATGTGTTGGGAAAGGGGAAGCATTGCATAGTTCTATCATTATGACTCACTCTTCTAGGGCAACTGTGCCCCTGGTATATGACCGTCACAAGTTCTCCTCAGCTTAGGAGAAATAGGAAGGCTAGAAAGGTTTGGAGTTAGCTATATCCTTTCCTCTATAACGAAGGCTAAAGGGAGACAATTTTCAATATCTACCTACCCCAAGTTTGGCTACACTTTGGTAAAACAAAAGTCAGTTAGCCTTAGGTCCCATGGACTCTGTGGTTCAGAACTTCAAGGAATAAAGGCTATACTGTCCCAGAATACTTGAAACTTATAACTCTAGACACCCTGAGTACCATAGCTACAAATACTGCTCCCAGAACATTAAGGATTCAGGCTCTAAAGTCAAAATCTTTTTGGCTGACAGCTCTGTTTCAAGGGTGTTTGGGAGAAGGGATACAAGATTTAAGTCTAGATGGAACAGGACTCCATGGTTTCTATGCACGACAATGCTAGCACACTGCATTTTTCTGGCTTTGAAGTAAAAATAATTTAAAAGCCTGTGGCCTTGGAAATGTTCAGAGTCTAAAATGTCTAAGGTTTTATTTATGTTTTGACTCACGTGTTTGATACCAGAGCACTGTAGCTCAGAGACCCTAAAATTCTGGGACCTTCTGAGCCCAGGAGTTTTGTGGTGCAGGGTCTCAATGGTTCAGGCCCCACAGTCCAATGTTTCAATGTTCCTCATATTCTGTGGCTCTGGGTCTACAGGGCTCCTGATATGTAAGGTACCAGGACCCTAGAGTGGGGCCAGGCCTGTAAGACCAAAGCTGATGGGATGAGAGTCTCTGGCCCCAGCGACCCAGTGTTGCAGCTCTGTCTGCTTGCTGAGACTTAACAAGAAGAGGTCTGAGAGGTCACCAGGCTGCTTATTACCTGCTTCATCTTGGTACCAAACATGGAGCCGCTCACATCAATAACGAACACCACATTTTTCTCAACCGGCGGAAGGCCTCTGGGGGCAAAGTAGTGAATAAAATAGCCGTCGTAAACCTGGACAAAAGGGATGAAAGCACAAGAACAGGGAAAGCTGGTTTAAATCAGGTCCCCTCTTAGCCTCCTACATACCAGCCCCCTCCCTGCCTGGGCCTTATCACTGTTTCTAGTTAAAGAGGCATGTGTGCCTCTTTCTTCCATGTCCCTCTCCTCCACCAGAAGCGTGTCTCTTCTGTTCAGACTGTCAGTCTAGGACCTGCCCCAGAGCTGTGGAGGCTGGCTGGGGGCCCAGGGCTCCAAGGAGCAGGCTCTCTGTAAAATGTGAGTTCCTGTCCATGAGAGCTGGGCTTGCACAGTCTTGAGGGCCCCTAGGGACATTTTGCCTGGGCTCCAGGAACTGTAACTATTGTTTTAACCTCCCTCTATAGAGTGAGCCTGGGGCCCAGCTCCATGGCTGCCAGGGGCTGGGAGTATGCAGGGCCTCCCTCTCCTCCTTCAACCTCCTTTCTGCTGTTGCTGGGCAGAGCAGGGAGGGGAGGAGGGAGCAGAGGCTGAGTGAGCTGTTTGTTCAGAGGGGATTGGTTAGCCCAGGTGCAGATGCCTGAGGCTGTGGGGGCTGTGATTGGCTGCCGCCCCCTCCCCCTACTCCAAATCTCCCTGTGCAGAGCCTGGGGGCTGGGACAGCTGAGGGAAGGAGAGGGGGGAGCTGGGAGGGCCCCCTGACCAGTGTCAGCTCAGCTCAGAGAAGTATGGGCTTGCTGAGGGTCTGAGCTGCCCAGCAGCCTGAAGCTGGCTGTGCCCTGGGATAGACAGCTACTTCTCCTCACTGCCATGCAGGCACCCTCTGATCACAGGGCTGGGGACACTATGTCCTCTTCTCTCAGGGGATCTCAGAAGACATGGGAGGACATCTGGGCCTTCCCCGCCACCCTAGCCTTTGAGTTCATTCCCAAGTACACGTGCAGGCTCTGTGTCCACTTTTCCCGGCACCGTACAGCAGTCCTCAGAGGCCTGGGTCCACCCCCCGCAACTGCCCAAGCCAAGAGCAGAGGCCAGCAGCCCTCCTCTGTTCCTCCCCTACCTGGCTAAGCCAGGGCTTCTGGAGAAATCACACACCCATCCCTCCATGGTCCCAGGCTCACAGGTGGCCCCACACCTCACATCCTATAAACCAGAGGCACAACGCAGGTCACCAACCTCTCACTCACCTCAGCTGGCATGCCATCCACTCTCAGGACATGTCTCCCTCCCTTCCTCATGAAGGAAGTTCAGGACGCCAGGCCATGTCCCTTGGACTGCCCACCTACCCTTGCTCAGGGTCCACATCCCCATACACCCCTTCTCTCTACTGAAAGACAAAAGAGTCCCACCCTGGACCCCATGGACTCCCAGCCTCTAGCACCTGCTCCACCGGTCAGGCCCCTGCACTCCAGCCCAACCCACATATTCTACAAGGTCTTCTTTAGAATAAAAATTTTTATCTGTTTTCCATCCAGTAAAACAAACTCTGTTGATCCCAATCCCCACCCAACTGCCAGCCAGCATCTCCCCCTGTAGCATGCCATGGAAATGATATGGACACGCATAAGGGTCTTCTCATCTCCATCTCACTCCTCCACCGACCACAGACTGGGCCTCACCTCCACCACACAGTGACCTTTCCTCACTAAAGGCAACAATGACCAGCTGGTTTCCAAGCTCAGGGAGTATATTTCAATGTCCATCCAACTGCACCTCCCTGATGAGTTTCACAATGGATTATTTACTCTGATTTCTTCAAACACCTTTTACCCTGGGATCTGAGATGGCGAACTCGCCTTATCTTCCCACCATCGCTGGTATGTGTGCTTCAGTCCCTTTCTTGGGCTGTCTTCCCCCCCCCCCACCCCCTGTCTCTTAAGCAGCGCTTCCCAATATTTTTGAACCATGGCATGCCAGAAAATGATTATGTTTGTGTAGCACAATGGAGGGAAGTGGTGGGAATTTACAGCTCTGAGCAGATTGTTGGCAGCTGGTGGGGCCGGACACCGGGAGGGTTGAGATCAATAGCCCCTTGCATGGGAATCTCAGCCTTAGCAACAGCCATCCTGGATCTGCCTTGGGGCCTGCACATTCTCCCTGGGTCATCTGGCTACCCTCTCGGTTTCGACTGCCCAGGCTCCACGGATGACTTCACGTGTCTTGCTCCAGTCCAATGTTTTCCAGTCTTCCCCCTCTGCAGCTGCACACCCACTCACTCTTGGACCTGCTCCCTTCGATGTCTGAAGATGCCTCCACTGGATTCTGCACAAACAGTAAATTCATTTTCTGCCTCCATCCTACCCCTGAGCACCTTTGTCATTTAAGGCACCGTCATCCACATGGTCACTCCAGATACAGACCCCAGGGTCACTCCTCAATCCTGTGTGCCCCTCCTTCCTGCACTCAACCAGCCACAAGCTCCTCCTGGTTTCTTCTGCTGGACATCTCAGGTCCCCCCCTCCTCTCCATCCCAAACTCACACGGCCCAAGCTCAGGTGTTTCTGTCATGTTTCCCTGCTTCTATTGTGGCCCCTTCCAACCATATATCTTTGCAGCTCCTGCTTGATCTGGCCTTTCTAACCAAAACCACCTAATGTCATTCCCTCTCTTGGCTCCCTCATCACCTCAAGACAAAGGGCATGCTCCTTTCCTGTCCCTAAAGCCTTTGAACCTTCGGTCTCACCTTTTGCCATTTCTTGTGCCTGAAATCTATGCTCTGGAAACCCCAACCCACTTGAAGTTCCCTACGCACCCATGGATAGTTCCAGCCCCCCTTCTTTGTTTCATGCAAAATCTGCCTCCCAACTTGGTGCACTTCTTTACATTCTTAAAGACCAAAGTTAGAAAAAAGTCCCAGGTTAGTCTGTACTTCCTCCAGAGAGCCACCTTCTCTCATCTCGATGGCTTCCATCATAACTTGTCATTGAGAGAGCACTTCTAATCTTGTATCAGTATTGGCTCTCTGTGTTTCACCCAGAGACAGTGAATAGGATCTGTATGTGATTCACCTCAGGTTTCCAACATCAGCCAGCAGTGGGCATGACCCATATCACCTTCCCAGGGTGTCCTGACTGAATGACTAAAGGGGGAGTTGCTGGCCTTTGAAATTGGGCATACGTGAGTGGGAAAGGGAGGTGAATTGAGGGTTCTTGGTGAGGGGATGCAGGAGTCAGGATACACAGTGGGTGGGAGTGTGGGTCATCTCATCGAATGGCCAATCCCACCTATTCTACCTGCATGTCTACTCCAGGCAATGGTGGAAAAGGTATAGAATGAAGAAGCAGATAAATACCTTTCCCCACACACCATGGAACAGCAGATCAAGGCCCCTGCTGCCACCTACTGGCAGGATACCCTCAGCTCCCATTCTGAGAGGGCAAATGGCTGTTATTCCCCCTGCACAGCAGGCTGGCTGTGCCACACCCCTGTGCCCCTGCACACACTGTCTCTCCTGTCTCTGCATGGACTTCCCATCACCCTACCGGCCCAGGTGGAGGCGGACTCTATTCGTTTTTGCCGTGCTAATTTAAGGCCAACCCCTTTAGGAAGGTTTTCTTAAAACCCTCCTCAATGGCATCTGCACATCACCCATTCCAGCTTTATACACACTAGGACGTGTGATGAATGTTAAGTCTCCATGTATGTGTGTCCCCTTCAAGTCTAGGACATTCTGGAGGGAGAGTAGGTTCTGTGTCCAAGGCGTCTCTGAGTTCTCAGAGGCAGTGGGGACAGCACTGGGCTAGAGTCGCTCTGCTTGGTGGAGTTGTGCCCACCTAGGAATTGATGAATAACTGAGTGCATGAGGAGAGGTGTAACCAACGGTATATTAGCCCGAGGAAGAGAGAGGAAGTGTGAGTGGGGTGTGTTCATCAGGGAGGTGGTGTTTCAGCGAGGTCTTTAAGGACAAGGAGGACACTGGCCAGAGAGGAGAGGCGGGAGGAGATATGCCCAGGGCAGCAGACAGTAGGAGCAAATGCTCCCACACAGATGAAAGGCGGGTTCAGTGCTTTGGGGGGAGAGGTGTGTGGTGTGGTGGGGAGGCAGCTGGAGGGTCAGTGTGCACTGGAGGCAGTGAGCGGTGTGACAGGAGAGGCAGGGGGACCAGACATCTGAGGCTGCTGTGCCGTCATTCTCACAAAGCCCGGGTCTTGGGTCAGGGCTCTCCCCGTCCAGTAGTGCAGGGGCCCTCTGCTTATTCTTAGGATTGTGGGAGCTCAGGAGTGAAGAGATCCCTGCTTAGGAATATGGCTCTGATGAGGCAAAAGGGATTCTTAAAACTTGGAGATGGCAAGAAAGTCCAAGAGAACATGGGAGCATCAGAGCTGCAGAGCGTGTGAGAGCCCTTGAGTGTGAGAGACCTATGCCTGGCCGATAGCTCACTTTCCAAAACACGGGTGAAGACTGGGCTATGGCCTGATCCTTTTAGAAAAGGATGCATTTGGAGCTGGATTTGATTTGCACAGTTCCAGGTCCCCAGTGCTGGGGGGAGCACATGTGCCTCCCCAGTTGTGCAATCACGTGTCACACACATCTTCTCGCTCTGTTTCGCTAGTCCTCACTGATCCCTGGGGAAAGGAAGTGAGCCAGGTTGTTGCCCCGACCTGTGTGACTCCAGAGCTCATGCTCGCTCCATCCCCCGGCCCCTCACCTGCACGTCGCCAATGATGTCCTCCATGACAACATCATACTGGACCACAAAGTCGGCCATGATGCCTGAGCTGGAGAAGGCAGCCTGGTCCTTCAGTGTTGGGCAGAAGGTGACTCGCACACAGGTCTCTCCCTTCTCAATTCTTGTGGATGGGGGCGGGCCAGCCTCACCTGTACGGGTGGGGAGGGGTGGGGTGGGATGGCTTGGAGGGCTCACTAGCAGGAAGCCAAGCAAGGGGACAGCAAAAGGAACAATACCTGGGGAGGGTGAAGAGTAAGCCCTGCGCCACCTGCTGCTCCTCCTGCCTGCAATGCCATTCCACCTGCCCAAATGCCACACTCCTTCCTCTGCAAATCCTAGAACCAGCTCTGCCTGCTCTGCCTCTGCCAGCAAGCCTACCCAGCCTGGCAGACCCAGCCCTCCCCTCAGCTCCCAGGCTCTGGGAGGCTGACCCTCATGCACACCTCTGCCCTCCATCCATAGGCCTAGTGTCATGTCCCCAGGTAGACCAGCCGCCTGGCTCTCCTGCCAGAGGCCATGTGTTGTGTGTTGTGGAGAGAGACAGACGCACAGACAGGGCCTGTGTTTCCTCCTGTGCCCCTTGCTGCTGTGGGAAATTGCAGTCCATCAGGGTTCTCCTCTGGGATAGAATTGCATGTGTTTTCTCCCCCCTCTGCCTTCTGCCGCTCAGAATCACGTGTGTGAATAGGCCGTTCGCGCCTCATGGAAACACAGAGGACTTTCTGGTCCCGGATGTTTGCTGAGCTGGCCATAAGATCAACTCCTCTGGAATTTCAGTCCAAGACAAATGTCCTTTTAGACATGTCTCTGTGCCTCTTTTCTCCAGAAAATGACAACTTGGGAATTCTGCCACCCGCTCCCCCTTTCTGCTACAGCTGTCAGGAAGTTTAGGGGCAAACTGAGGCCCCATACTCTCTGAGGCCCCCGCTTACATACATTCCCCTGGCTTCCTTCCTTTCAGAGGTCTTTGTTCTGTTTTTATCCCCACAGGACTGGCTCTACCCTCTGTTTTAACCTTTAAGGAGCAGGGGGAGGGAGCTGCCATTTTTAGCCTAGGGTGTAAGAGGGCAGGCTCCAAGGGCTCAGAGGCTGCCTGTGGGGCCCTGGAAAGTCCTTCCCGCTCTCTCAGCCTCAGTCTCCCCAGGATTGTAGCTCCTATTTCACAGACAGTGTTTGTGGGATTAAAAGAGACTTCATGTAAAGCACGTGAAGCCATCCTTGCATCTTAGTAATTGCTCAATCATTCTAAGGATTGCAGTTTTCCTCAAACCTTCCTCTGCAGCAGGGATTTGCAGGGAGGAGTCTTATCACTCTCGCCTGGGCCCCAGGTGGCATCCCCTCATTGTGCAGATGGAAAAGGGAAGCAGAGCACTTGAGGGATTTGCCTGCGCCCCCACCTTAGGGGAAGGTCAAAGCTGGGATTGGAGCCCATGTCTGTGTGTCCGTCTCTCCTTCTGTGTACCACACTGTCACTCTGGGTTATCAGGGTCAAACCAGGCAGGAGCTCCAAGCGAAAGAGCTTGGTGAGGGTGGCCACAGGCCATGGTGATTCCTCTGTGCCTGTCCACTCATCTCTCAGAGGAGGTGGGTGGGCCAGGTCAGTGGTTCTCTGACCTGGCCAGACTCCAAGTTCACCTGCCACCTGGTCAGAAACAGGTTCTTGGGCCCCTCCCCAACCTACTGAATCGGACTCCAGAGGGTGGGGTCCAAGTATCTGTACCCCTCACATGGGGGTTCTGATGTCGCCAGTCTGGCCCTCACACACCTCTAGATGAACTTACAGCAAGGCTGGCAGCCAGGACATCTCTGGCCCACAGCGCCTGAGTCCACATCCTCAAGGGCAGCCTGCAGTGTATGCTCTCCACCCACTGCCCTTCCATTCTCGGCTGTGATTCCACAGCAAAGCAAGATCTGGCCAGTGTGGCTTCCACAACATTTAGCATAATAAATAGGGAAAGTTTCACAGAGCAACCCATTCCATCATTCCCTCATTCACACTTATTCATGGGTTCATTCATGCCTTTACTTACATTGTACTCACCCACTCTTTCCTTTACTCACGCATTTCCTTTTTCACTCACAGTCACTCTCTGTGTCAATCAGAATGCTCTCAAAAACAGATGGCACGCTCAATGTGTAACATGAAGATGAACTAGTGAGACATAATTTTCAGAGGTGTGAGCAAGGTGAAGGGAACCCACACAGGAAGGTTAGATACCCAAGAACTGCATCCAGGGAAAGCCATTTCCTCCCCAAGAATGGAAGGGTCAAGGGGAGGGAGCAGTTATAACAAAGTGGTGGGAGTTATAACCATGGAAGAGGGGCTGCCCACGGGAGCTTACGGCCATGGTCATGGGGACTTAGACACGTCCAAAGCACCTGTGGCACCACCTGCAGCCAGGGGTCTCTTGGGTGGGGCTGGCCACGTCCTTGCCCACCTAGCTCAGCACCCAGCTTGGACACATGGCCATTTCCACACACATGTGAGCATGGACACACACCCGCCTGGCCCCCGCCTTCACGCGTGGGCACAGTGCACCACGCACTTCCCCAGGGACTGTCACCACATCCATTACAGTAGCTCACCTACCGTGTGCCGGGGAGTGCTCTGCGCGCTCCCCATCCACAACTAATCTCCACTCGCAGAGACCAGGCTGGGTGAGCAAATGAATGCTGTTCACCTCTCACAGCAGGAGATCCCAGGCCAGAGATGGCAGGGACGCCCCAGGGCACAGGGAACCTGGTGTAAGGGAGCTGCAGCAGTTTAACCCCATCACCTACCCCCCCCCAGTGTGCTTCCACCAGAGCACACTGACTGCTGCTGACTCAGAACCCGCCCTTAGAATGTGTGCACCCGGTGCCCATATTCATACGTGTAAACGCGTGCCTGTGTCTATGCGTTTGTGCCCATGTTCCTCACACACATCTGTACACAGAATAACGTGCCTGGACGCAGAGGCACTGGCTCCTCGGGGCTCCCACCGCCCGCCCTTCGTGTTTTCTCTCGCTGTCACTGTTTCCCTCCCTGGACTGGCTGTGTCTTGAGAACAGGATACCCCGGTACTCAATGCAGGGCCATAAACACTTTATACCCTTTCAACACCATTGAAATATCCCACACAATACATGTTATACACCACTGAAATATCCCACACAATATTGGTTCTGGATAAGGAACACATTTCACAATGGAAGGGGTAAAACAATAGTCTAATGACTATGAGCTTCCCTGTTCTTATCACATACACCGTTAACATCTGCCTTTAAAGAAGGGTGGGGTAGCCTATGGACTATTTAGTTATGGCAACAGTTAGGAAACAACACTTTGTGAGGTCTGAGAGCCTACAGAATTTAGTGTATTCTTTGAACCAACAACCAATATATGATGTTCATTATCCCACAAACAGAATACATAGGTCTAGGAACCAAAGGGTAAAAATGGAGGTCACACTTCTCATCACTTCATTAGTGAAACTCTTTTTTTTATTGATGTATTGGGGTGACACTGGTTAACAAAACTATACAAAGTTCAGGTGCACAATTCCACAACACATCATCTGTACACTGTTGTGTGTTCACCACTCCAAGTCTCCTTCCATCACCATTTATCTGCCCTAGACCAGTGATGGCGAACCTATGACACGCGTGTCAGAGGTGACACGCAAGCTCATTTTTTTGGTTGATTTTTCTTTGTTAAATGGCATTTAAATATAGAAAATAAATATCAAATATATAAATCTTTGTTTTACTATGGTTGCAAATATCAAAAAATTTCTATATGTGACACGGCACCAGAGTTAAGTTAGGGTTTTTCAAAATGCTGACACACCGAGCTCAAAAGGTTCGCCATCACTGCCCTATACCCTCCTCCACCTCCTCCCATCTCCCTCCCCATTCACCACACTGTTGTCTGTGTCCATGAGTTTTTCCTGGTTTTTTTTTTATTTTTGCTCAATCCCTCTACCCCCTAAGATCCCAAAGCCCCACCCCCAGCTGTCAGACTGCTCTCTAACTATGAGTCTGTCTCTATTTTGCTTGTTAGTTCATTTTGTTCATTAGATTCAACATATGAGTGAAATCATATGGTACTTGTCTTTCTCTGATTGGCTTATTTCACTAATCATAATGCTCTCCAGGTCCATTCATGCTGTGGCAAAGAGTATTATTTCCTTCTTATTTTACAGCCAAGTAGTTATCTATTGTGTAAATGCACCACAGATTTTTAAAATATATTTTTATTGATTTCAGAGAGGAAGGGAGAGGGAGAGAGAGATAGAAACATCAATGATGAGAGAAAATCATTGATTGGCTGCCTCCTGTATGCCCCCTGCTGGGGATCAAGCCCGTGAGCATGTGTTCTTGACCGGAATCAAACCTGGGACCCTTCAGTCTATGGCCATTGCTCTGTCCACAGAGCCAAACCCGCTAGGGCTACCACAGCTTTTTTATCCACTCATCTACTGATGGGCACTTGGGCTGCTTCCAAATCTTGGCTATTGTGAATAATGCTGCAATGAACATGGGGGTGCATATATTCTTTTGAATTAGTGTTTTGGGTTTCTTTGGATATATTGCCAGAAGTGGAACACCTAGGTTATAAGGCAGTTCCAGTTTTAATTTTTTGAGGTAACTCCACACTGCTTTCCACGTGGCTACAGCGGTCTGCTTGCCCACCAACAGTGCATGAGGGTTTTCTTTTCTCCACATCCTCACCAACAGTTGTTGCTTGGTGATTTATTGATGGTAGCCATTCTGACAGGTGTGAGGTGATAGGTCATTATGGTTTTAATTTGCATTTCTCTGATGATTAGTAACATTGAGCATCTTTTCATATGTCTATTGGCCATTGTATGTCCTCTTTAGAGGAGTGTCTACTCAGATCCTTTGCCCATTTTTTAATTGGATTGCTTTTTTTTGGTGTTGAGTTTGATACGTTCTTTATAAATTTTGGATTTAACACTTTATCAGATGTATCGGCAATATGTTCTCTCATTCAATGGGTGGTCTTTTCGCTTTATTGATGGTTTCCTTTGATGTGCAAAATCTTTTTAGTTTGATGTAGTCTCATTTATTTTTTCTTTTGTTTCCCTTGCCCAATGAGATATATCTTTTAAAATATTGCTACGAGAAATGTCTGAGATTACACTGCTTATGTTTTCTTCTAGGATTTTTATGGTTTCAAGTATAACATTTAACTTTTTAATCCATTTTGATTTTATTCTTGTGTATGGTGTAAGAAGGTGGTCTAGTTTTAATTTTTTGTACATATATGTCCAATTTTCTCAACACCATTTATTGAAGAGACTCTCTTTACCCACATTGCATGTTTTTGCCTCCTCTGTCAAATATTAATTGACTATAAAGGCATGGGTTTATTTCTGAGCTCTCTATTCTGTTCCATTGATCTATATGTCTGTTTGTATGCCAGTAATATGCTGTTTTTATTAGTAAGGGTTTGTAGTAGTTTTATATCT